GCATCTAAAAACGTTCTCACCGTCCGCCAAACAGCCAGCGACCGCGGACAGCAGCCAAAGGCACAGCAGCAGGTACTTCGCCATGTCTCACAGCGCAGATCCACCATCATCTCATGTCTTGTTGTGTTTAGCCGTCAGCTGCTGACAGCGGTTGCCACCGTGATTATCGCGCGCTGCTTCCTGCTTCGTCGTGAAACACGTAAATGTTCAGACTGCACATGCGCACTTCGAGTTCGCGGAGTGGAGCACGCAGGCTCTGCTCTGGACACCCCCCTGCAGGCCGTCTGTGAGGGGCTGACAGCGATTTTAGCGTTGATCCTGTAGGTAAAGCAGTGTTTCCCCACTCTGGTCCTGGAGGCCGACTAGCCTCCACATTTTGGCGCTTTCCGTGCTGCAGCTCAATTATAAGCGGTTAAAGGGGAACTCCACCGATTTTTTAAAAATTCTCCATAAGTGAATTGTTAGGATGTAAACAAAGTCGTTCAGAGTGATTTGCTGTGAAATGATCCCTTCTAGAGAAACTTACTGATTTAGAATTGTTTACAGTGGTGGTGACAGGAACCCAATGCTGCCAAGTTTTGTTTGAGGTTGTTGGGTGTGGGGTGATACTGTTTAGGTAGGTTCCCATAGTTTTTTGTTTTGTCTTTTTTTGGAGAGTGGTCTTCAGTAGTGTTTTGTATTAGTACAGACGACTGAAAAGTTGAACGCCTCTAAAAGCTACATCACAAAACATTTACATGAAATGATTACGAATATGTTGCCTCATGCCCAAGACATTGTTCTATGATAGTTTTGAGATAAACATTTGGGCTATAATGTACTTTTTAAAATCCATTAATGGTGGAGAGATACATGTATGGTGCTGTAAGGCAAAATAGTCCCCAGTAATACTTATTGTTTCTAGATTAACCCCTATTTTACCATCATTACTATGGCATATAAAATCTCAGAAGACATGTGTAGGTTCACTGGTGGTCTTGGATTGAAAATAATATGGCCATATTGTGTTGTAGACATGGCAGCCCCTAGTTCCTGTCACCACCACTGTAAAGAAATCTGTAAGTTTCTCTACAATGAACCGTTTTGCATCAAACTCTGAATTATGCATGCGTTTTGAAAAATCGGTGGAATTCCCCTTTTAATGAGCTGACAAGTTGGGTCAAGTGTGTTTGGAGCAGGGCAGTGGGCCTTTAGGACCAGGGTTGAGAAACTCTGACGTAGAGCATTTGTTTACCACTCCTAGTCCTGCAAGAACCCTGCACTGCACACTTTAGTGTCGTTCCTTTTCACAGATCATCAGCATGTTCACTTAAGTCAGTCATCATTTCCCAACCCTGGGACCTCTTTAGGTAAAAGGAAGTGAAGTGATGTCATCAGTGTGATTTTTATTTCAAAACAGATTTTTTGTTACGCAGTAACACGACTCTTAGTTTCAACAACTTTCATTATATATTGACGGCACAAGAAGGTGTAATTCTTAAAATAACTTATTGTTTGATTTTAAAATAGAAATACTCTGTAACCATAACATGTTTTTCAAGTTTAATATATCTGTAAACGCTAGGGACACAAAAAATGGACGTTTCTGTAGAAAGACCCATCTCCACTTGTGTTTTTGGTTTAAGAAACTAGTAACAAGTCAATCTTTCCATCAGTCTATTGGGAAAACTGGGCAGGTTTTCAGTTTTACAAATATGTTACAGCTTATCATAAGGGTTTTCAGTTGTATACCAGACATAGTTACAATTGCTAGGCTATGAAGGACCAACTGAGTGACCCACAGCGCCACCCTGAGGCAGACCAGTGTTCCATTTGTGCTAGTTGATTAAGAATACCAAAGACAGAAACTCGCAGATTGTGGGTGAGGCGGGTTGAACAATGGCAGTATAATGTCATGATAAGTTTATTTTCAGGGGCCCAAGAACCCCTTAACATTCCAGGTTTATTTCATACAAAGGCCTTATTATTCAGTAACTACAGGGACTTCAATGCAAACTAAAGGAGCTATTCTTAGGTTATAGAAGTGTGTAATAAAACATTGGGCCCGTCAGCGGGTCCATGGCTTGTTAATTAGGAGGTCCCTGACCCCTCAGGACACCCTGTATTTCGCATCTTGCATAACACAATGGTAGCCGGGCCAGCAGTTGTGAAACGGAATCCCTGGCACTGTTGGTAGTGGTGGAGACACTGGGCAATGGAAACAGAAAAACCCTAGGTGGCGCTGTTAGTGCAGTCAGAGACATGGAAAGTCATATGGCAGTGTTACAACAGATGATGATGCTGTCCACAGCCTCAGACACCAGGACTCACTTATGCCTCAAATGGGTAACAGGGAAAGGTTCTAAGACTGGCACTAGAGCATGCTCTTCCTCGACAGAGGGAGTGGTGAAGGCCTCATTCAGAACGAGCCAGGGAAGAGGTTTTTGAGATGGGAGCAGCTTAATACACACTACCATCCTTACTCAGTTCTCACTTCTCAAGTGCAAACTACAGTGCTGTGAAAAAGTACAGATCACCTCCCCAGATCACTTCTATCTTTACATAGTTTTTCACACTTAATGGTCAGCTTTGGCAGCACCAACTGCAACCAAATGCTTTCTATAACTGGAGATCATCACACTGAGCCATTATTCTAAAATTCTTGATGGTCAACAAGGTGTTGTTTGGAAAACATGAGATGAGCTGGAATGTTCCTCTTGGTTAGCAGCGTGTTTAGCCTTGCAGCTTTCCCATGGATACCATTTTGCCCCATGATACCATTTTGCCCAGTCTCTTTCTATTGGTGAAATCATAAAAGTTGACCTTATCTGAGGTGGGCGAGGCCTGCCGGTCCTTCATCCGTTCATCTGGGCTCTTTCATGAGTCATTGATGTGCCCTTGGAGGAATTTCTGTAGGCCGGCCACTTCTGGGAAGATCTGAGAAGATCTTTCTCCATTTGGAGATGGCTCTCATTAAATCCCAGACCTGCAGTGACACTGATGTGGTGGTGGCGTGTTAGTGTGTGTTGCGCTGGTACGAGTGGATCAGACACAGCAGGGCTGCCGGTGTTTTTAAACACCTTAGTGATGCTGCTGGACTGAGAATAGTCCACCAAAAACATCCATCCAGCAGCGTCCAGTGACCACTGATGAAGGACCAGAGGATGACCAACACAAACTGTGCAGCAGCAGATGAGCTACTGCCCCTGACTTTACATCTACAAGGTGGACCGACAAGGTAGGAGTGTCTAATAGAGTGGACAGTGAGTGGACATAGTGTATAAAAAGTCCAGCAGCAAAGCTGTGTCCGATCCACTCATACCAGCGCAACACACACTAACACACCACTATCACATCAGTGTCACTGCTGAGAATGACCTACTGCCCAAACAATACCTGCTCTGTGGTGGTCCTGTGGGAGTCCTGACCATTCAAGAACAGGGTAAAAGAGGGCTAACAAAGAACGCAGAAACAGATAGGCTACAGTCTGTAATTGTAGAACTACAAAGTGCAACTAAAATGGACAGTGAGTGCAGATACATGGAGGTGTATGTAATGAAGTGGCCGGATGGTTGTCTATGATATACTTTGATATTTTTATATATTTTCTTTTCTTTTTTTAAAAAGCATATGTTTCCGTGACACAGACACCACCTCTCTCTTTCTCTCTCCCTCTCTCCTTTAATATAAACTCCACAAACTGGTTTGTTTTCTTTCTGCATTTGTTCAGTAAAGAAAGGTAAACGTGTACACGGCAGTGAAAGATCAGAATTGATCTGTCTTATCTTTTTAATGGGGTTTTACAAAGGGGCTCATCCAAAAGTCAAAATGGCGTGAGATCCGATTTCACGCCTTTTTAGGTTCACTCTTAAGTGCTTCACCGGAGAGCGATAACAGCTCCAGTCGCTGCGTGTTTGGACAGCGCCAGAATGTTTGAGTAAGAGCGCTGTGGGGAGGAGGGCGCCTAATTTTGTTTCCCACCCGTATTCGGACGAACGACGTCCCCCTGCAGTAGGATCGGCACAGAGCGTGTATTAAAAAGCCTGTAACTTCATACGACTGTCACTGATCAAAGACAAGCACAACCACGTAAACTGCACGAGAATGTTCAGTCCATTTAGACTCTTATTTTCTTTTTATAAACTTCATCCAGAAGCTCTTCGTGTCCCTCTTATTTCCCGCCGGACAGCGAGTGACGTCAGCTGTAACCAATCAACGACAAGCTTGAGGTAGCGCCGCTTGACGTTCCAGGAGGACTTTTACTTATTGCATATTATAGATTTTTTATTTGCGTCACGTTTTTTAGATTTTAGATTTAGAGATTAAATCTGCAGTGGGATTTTTAGTTGCCTTTTTTTTTGTTATTTTTTTTATTCGATTTTCAGTTTTTGAGATTTTTTTGTCTCGTTTTTAAATGTACTTTTCAGATTTGCTGTTTTGGCTTTAGATTTAATTTATTACAACACAAGTTTAAAAAGGAAATGAGGAAATTAGATTAATATTTATTATTAAATATTAATATATGTTTATTTATTTATTTATTTATTTATTTATTGTTGGGTTTCTTTGTAAAATAAAGCTGAAGAAATCGGAGAAAATCTCACCCAAACACATTTAAAGATAGCTAATTTTTCTATTTACATGAATATGATATTTACTCAAAAGAACAATGACTAAGTCAAATATGTGTGGTTCGTAATTACATTTACAAACAATACTATCACAGCATTAATTCATTTTTATAAACACTTCTATAAAGACTGACCAGAATATCTACGTTGGGGAAAAAAAGTCTATATTTAAATCCCTTCTGAAAAACATAAAACTCACTATGTCTGTTGCGAGTGAGTAGGACCTGTTAGCCAATCACAGTGCTCGAGGGCGGGGCTTGTCGGAATACGGGTGGGTAAAAAACAACAACACCGCAGCTGGGCCACTTGAACGTTCCCCGGCAGTGGCAGAGCCGCAGCGCGCGCTGCTTCGGCGAGTTTCCGCTCTGCTCTGCGGTTGCCGGGCGCCGAGGCGGGCTCGCGCTCTGTTTAAGCAGAACACAATTACAAAGAGACGCAAATATTTGCTAAGAAAACACAGCGCGCGCCCCCGTCCAGGGTATAAATGGGCCATCAACGCTGGGCCAACTGGCACAGAGCGCCGCCTGAGGAGCGACCTGCGTCTCCGTCACTGAGAGGTAAGAACATCCGACAGAAGACAGTCAGACACAGAACACAGTAAATCTGATCTGTCTGACTGACAGCCTGCAGTGACTGACAGCTGTCAGGAGTTTCACTCACTGCGTCTTCATCTGGAGTAGCTTGAGGTTCTTCAGTAAAGGCAATGGTTCCATTTAGAACCATAAGTTCTATATACACGCTTAAAAAAGATTGTTCTTTAGTAAAGACATTGGTACTATTTAGAACCATAACGTCTATATGCACTTGTAAAAAAGAAGGTTCTTCAGAGGTTCTTTAATAAAGGCAATGGTTCTATTTAGAACCATGAGTTCTATATATACACTTAAAAAAGATGGTTCTTTAGTAATGGCAATGGTTCTATTTAGAACCATGAGTTCTATATGCACTCTTAAAAAGAAGGTTCTTCAAGGTTTCTTAAGTAAAGGCAGTGGTTCTGTTTAGACCTGTGAGTTCTGTATGCATTGTAAAAAAAGGTTCTTTAAGGGTTCTTTAACAAAGGCAATGGTTCTATTTAGAACCATGAGTTCTATATCGAATATATTTCATGCTTAAATGGTTCTTTGCATGGTGAAATGGTTCTTCATATGGAGAATGTGTTGTATATGGCTCTATATAGAAACTTTTTGAAAATGCTTCTATGTAGCACCAAAAGTGTTGTTGTATTGTCACAAGCTTGACATCATAACAATAGAAGAACCCACTTTCTATATAGAACTATATATAACACATTCTCCATCAGTCTAAAGAACACTTTCACCATGCAAAGAACTATTTAAGCATGCAGACTGTTCTTTGAGTGTCCATGGTGCTATATAGAACCATTGCCTTTAGTAAAGAACCCTTAAAGAACCACCTTTTTTTAAGTGTATATTTTAACTACTGTAACAAATCAGTAGTCAATAAATGACCACTGAGGTTTATTAGAAACAGCTACCTTATACTCCCACTCAGTGGTCACTTTGGAAGCTCCACTGTGTAGGTGTACAACTACAGCCTCTAGGCATCTGTAATGCCTATAATAATAATAATAATAATAATAATAATAATAATAATAATACACTCTGTATGTAAGCTGACATTACGCTTTATACAAAATTAAACAGGACTATATAAATTGTCTAACAAAATCAATAATCTTAGTTCTTGTGTCAATGGTTACCCTCTACCCCAGCACTGACCCCATTATTATTGATCAGCTTCTGACCACAGGCCTGTTGCTGATCAGTAGAGGTGCACAGATCATTACTCTTTATGGCCGATTCCAATTTCTTTACAACCCAAACTGGCAGGTGGTCCGTTTTGGGCTGATTTTTATTAAAGGATCTCATGAAACGCACTAGCAGCATTACTTTTTATTAGCCAAATATGAAACATAAATAACAATATTTGCTCTTGAACAGGCCAAACTGGCATTTTAATAACATTGAAACATCACACTGGAAGTAAGAGGCAAACGGCTATTTGTAAACATGGTCATGCATCAATTATTAGAGACAGCATATCGGTGTCGATGGGTATCAGTGTTGGGCTGATAATGCAGACATGGATATGGGAGGGAATAAAAGAATGAATCCAAATCGATCCTGTAACAAATCTAGCCTGAAATGGCGCTCACTGAGTGACGTGTTGTTGTTGTTAGGTGCGTATTTCTTCCTGATTGGTGGTAGAGTTTTTTGAGCAGAGTAGTCTACTTTTAGATAATCCTCTTCAGTGAAGTGCTTCTATTAAAATTAGCTCATTTTAAAGTTTAGTAATATTAAAAGAAGAAAATGCTGGATCTGATCTTTACAAAAAAATGTAAACGTGGTTTAGACATTGGTTTACGAAGATTTTGGCTTAAAACATAATTTTTAAGATCGATTAATGGTGTAAAGTTACATGCAGACTAAAAAATAAGTATTTTTCCAGATTTCGGGCATTATAGAGAAAACAGGAAGGAGGAGAAAGTGAGCTTTTTATTTAAAAGGCAGAGACCAACAAATGCTGTCTTATTCATTCATTCATTCCTTCATTCCTTCATTCATCCCTCTCCAGTTTGGATAACCAGAGAATACAAAACATTGCATTACAACATAATATCAAGTGACACCAGGGGCAGAGAAAAATAAAAGAGAATTTTAAAATAAGGAATAAGGCATAATTAAAAAAAATCATGCACAATTAAGTGGTCAAGATGTAAATAAAGTCATTTAGAGTTGTTTGATGTGAAATGCGCCACTCTAGAGATACTTACCGAGTCAGAATTGTTCACAGTGGCGGTGATAGGAATCAGACATCCGAAGAGTTCAACGTTATCTTACAGAAAGTTCTTCCTTTCATTGCTTGAACCATTATTTTATGATAAAGCTTTGATGTAAGGTTTTGGCCTTTTTCAGACTCACCACTATTTTACCACTGACGACATTAAATACAAAAGCCCAGAGGACATGTTTAGGTTTACTGTTCATCTTGGGTAGTAAATAAAATGTTGTTCCAGTCACCACCACTGTAAGTCGAAAGGTTTATCTACAGTGCACCATTTCACATCAAACCCTGAATGACTTTGTTTACATCTTGACCACTGAGTCATGCAGAAATGTCAAAAAAATTCCTCTAGCCATATATATATATATATATATATATGTATGTATATATCCAGAGCCATCCATGAAGCCTAGCTCATGTCGTTTGAATGTTTTGCCTGTAGGATGGCAGCGAGCGTCATCAGAACACTGAGCGGTTTTGGATTGACCAGGCCGGTCCAGACCTGCTTCCTTCCCACTGAGGAAGAGGAGGCTGAGGACGAATATGAAGAGGAACTCAGAGAGGAGGTGGAGGACAGCTTTGAGGAGGAGGATTCCCCACCTACTGAGCAACAAGAGGAAGAGCCGTGGGCTGAGAATCCCCCTGCTAGCCACACTGAGATGACTGATCGTCTGCTGAGGTTCGCTGAGCTCATCAGCAGTGACGTGCAGCGCTATTTTGGACGCAGTCACGACCCTGACGCTTGTGATATTTACGCAGAACGGGCGTGTCCTGAGGTCAGTGGCCGGCAGCGGTACTACGCCGACTTCATGAGGGTGGCATCATCAGAGCAGGGTGGGGAGCCTGAGAAGCTGGGCCCCCTCGCGGAGCTCTTCAAGGAGGCCCACAGGAAAAGGCAGGGTTTACCCATGACTCAGCGCCGTCTACCCAGCAGCTTCTGGACGGAGCCGCGCCCTTGCCACCTTGCTAACATGCCAGATATGCTCGGTTGCCCCATGGAAACCACACTTAGAAGCACCAACACTCCAGTCAGCATATTGAGTACTTCTAATACTCCAGTTAGCACCATCAGCAGCTCCAGTACTCCAGATTTCAGTGACTTGCTTGCACACTGGGCTACAGACAGAGACAATGGCAGTGATTTCGGTTGTGACTACCAGCTTCCATAAAGCTCTATAACGACTAATTATTCAGGTAATCAAGTTATAACTCGATTATTGTGATGATTAATCAAGTGATCAGAGTTTTTTAAAACAGCCCCAACGATACAACTGGACTTAACAAACTCTGCAGAGTGTTTTGATGATTCCCAAATACATCAAAGGAAAAAAGAATAGCTAGGAAGCCTTTAAAAGACTTTTAAAGATTGTTTCTGATCTGAAGTAAGAGCGGAGCTTGATTTTCTCCTCTGTCTCAAAGATGAAAGCTTTAAGTGCTGTTTATCTGATGGTAATAGTTTCGGTGGTCTACAGGGTCTTGCATGGTTGTTAGGAGTCCCATTTTCTCTGTATCTTTCAGTCATTTTTTTAAACTTTAGTTGTAGCAAGTTCTATTTTTCACCTTCCTTATGCAAGTGGGTTATCTTATATCTAATCTCCTCAGAAATATCTCCTGAAAAATGAACTAAATGGCTACTTTGACAGGAAATATAATTTATGAAGGGTGGTCTCTGACTTTAACATTTTTAACAGTCACTTCACATCACCTTGTTTCGTCTTTTATTCTATAAATCAGTGGCAAAAAATGTGATTCTTGTACTTTTTATGTCTTTTGTCAACTTTTGAGAATAATAAATTTAATACATAAATAAATTTACAGTACATAAAAGTGTGAATGGATTCTGGTGATATGCTCCTCATGTTTGGTGCTGATCCTGTATGTTTGCATCACATATTTTATCATCCATGATATGTGAAATTCACAAACGTAGAAGAAATGTAAAGTTTTCAAAGACATTTCGGTTCAAAAGTTAAGAAACGAAGCCAAGTCCTGGACCAAAAGCAACTTTCAGACATTGTGAACTTTGTCATTTTAGTCAGGACAAAACTGAAATTAGCAAAAAAAAAGTTGAATCAGACAAAAATCTTTAGTTTTTTCCCCCCAAAAGTAATAAAAGGCCCATGTCCTACATTCTCCTTATATTTCATTTTCTGCCTGAGGTCTACTTATAACGTTTGTGTGCTTTTATATACCAAAAACAGTCATAAATCATTCTTACATGACCACTTCCAACCTCTATTTATCTCTTTGAATTAAACAATGTGTGTTGCTGTGCCTTTAAGACTGATGGAAATTAGCTCAGGTCTGATTGGGGTGACCTCTGTCGTGCCTCATTTAGAAAGCAGTGTGGGATGAAGCACTAACTTCAGGATAAATAGGAGGGCCTAAACTGCTGTAGGCTGAGTAGGAGGATGCATGTAAATGGATTAGTTTTTGCAACATCACAGAAACAATGAAATAAATTGAGCTGTTTTTTTGCAGCTTAGTTTCCATGTACAGACTGTTTGGACTGAGAATTCCATGGTGCCTTTCAAATGTTGGACAGTGTTTACATACTACATTAAATGCTTTATTTAAAAAAGCAAGGAAAATTCTTTTTTTTTTTTAATTAGCTAACTGGACACTGACCATTTAAAATGCAAGTTTAAATAATTCAGCTTCACCTAGTTGTTTTACTTCATCTACTTAATACATGTTCTGCAAAGCCAATGTGGTAAAAGCACTTTATACATTACTTTTAAGTCAATTTAAAGTCAAATATATCTTTATCACCTTAAGTATAGGCAGGGCTGCCCATAAGGGAGGGAACAAGGTGCCTTCAGGGGCCCTGCCACTAGAGGGGGCCCAAGAGGCTTTGAGCATACCGGTGGAGCATACACTCGCTGAGCACTTTTTCAGGTCCACTTACCTCACAGCTACAATCCTTGTCCATTTTATCAGCTCCACTTACTATATACACTATATTGCCAAAAGTATTCACTCATCAAATCATTGAATTCAGGTCTTCCAATCACTTTCATGGCTACAGGTGTAAAAAACCAAGCACCTAGGCCTGCAGACTGCTTCTACAAACATCTGTGAAAGAACGGGTCGCTCTCAGAAGCTCAGTGAATTCCAGCGTGGTACCGTGATAGGATGCCACCTGTGCAACGAGTCCAGTTGTGAAATTTCCTCACTACTAAATATTCCACAGTCAACTGTCAGTGGTATTATAACAAAGTGGAAGCGATTGGGAACGACAGCAACTGAGCCACGAAGTGGTAGTCCACGTAAAATGACAGAGCGGGGTCAGCGGATGCTGAGGCACGTAGTGCGCAGAGGTCGCCAACTTTCTGCAGAGTCAATCGTTACAGACCTCCAAACTTCATGTGGCCTTCAGATTAGCTCAAGAACAGCATAGAGAGCTTCATAGAGTGGGTTTCCATGGCCGAGCAGCTGCACCAAGCACAATGCAAAGCGTCGAATGCAGTGGTGTAAAGCGCCGCCACTTCACTCTAGAGCAGTGGAGACGTGTTCTCTGGAGTGACGAATCACACCGTCTGGCAATCTGATGAACGAGTCTGGGTTTGGTGGTTGCCAGGAGAACGGTACTTGTCTGACTGCATTGTGCCAAGTGTAAAGTTTGGTGGAGGGGGATTATGGTGTGGGGTTGTTTTTCCCCTTAGTTCCAGTGAAAGGAACTCTTAATGCTTCAGCAGACCAAGAGATTTTGGACAATTTCATGCTCCCAACTTTGTGGGAACAGTTTGGGGATGGCCCCTTCCTGTTCCAGCTTGACTGCAAGCATGGTCCATAAAGACATGGATAAGTGAGTTTGGTGTGGAAGAACTTGACTGGCCTGCACAGAGTCCTGACCTCAACCTGATAGAACACCTTCGGGATGAATTAGATCGGAGACTGCGAGCCAGGCCTTCTCATCCAACATCAGTGTCTGACCTCACAAATGCGCTTCTGGAAGTATGGTCAAAAATTCCCATAAACACTCCTAAACCTTGTGGAAAGCCTTCCCAGAAGAGTTGAAGCTGTTATAGCTGCAAAGGGTGGGCATCATATTAAATCCTATGGATTAAGAATGGGATGTCACTCAAGTTCATATGCGTGTGAAGGCAAACGAGCGAATACTTTTGGCAATATAGTGTATGTGCACTTTGTAGTTCTACAATTACAGACTGTAGTCCATCTGTTTCTGTGCATACTTTGTTAGCTCTCTTTTAACCTGTTTTTCAATGGTTAAGACCCCCACAGGACCACCACCAAGCAGGTACTATTTGGGTGGTCGATCATTCTCAGCACTGCAGTGACACTGATGTGGTGGTAGTGTGTTATTGTGTGTTGCGCTGGTATGAGTGGATCAGAAAAAGCAGTGCTGCTGGAGTTTAAACGTTGCGTCCACTCACTGTCCACTGTATTAGACACTCCTATCTTGTTGGTCCACCTTGTTGGTAAAGTCAGAGACAGTATCTCCTCTGTTGCAGCACAGTCTGTGTTGGTCATCCTCTGGTCCTTCATCAGTGGTCACAGGACACTGTTGGCTGGATGTTTTTTGGTTGGTGGACTATTCTCAGTCCAGCAGTGACACTGAGGTGTTTAAAAACTCCAGCAACACTGCTGTGTCTGATCCACTCATACCAGCGCAACACACACTAACACACCACCACCACATCAGTGTTACTGCAGTGCTGAGAATGATCCACCACCCAAATAGTACCTGCTCTGTGAGGGTCCTGTGGGGGTCCTGACCATTGAAGAACAGGGTGAAAGGGGGCTAACAAAGTATGCAGAGAAACAGATGGACTACAGTCTGTAACTGTAGAACTACAACGTGCACTTATATGGTAAGTGGAGCTGATAAAATGGACACTGAATGTAGGTACAAAGAGGTGTACCTAATAACGTGCTTAGTAAGTGTATATACAGTATAGTTTTTCCTCAAATTTTAGCACTCCTAAAACGGAGATATTAGGGATGCCCAAATCAGTATTGGAGCCAAAGTAACTCAGAGTGTGTGCCCAAGGGTTAAATTGGGCCAAAGTATATCCGAATAAATGTGCTTATTATGCCTCAACATGTAAGTAGCCTAGAATATTGGCGGTTATTTATATTGCTCAGTCATTTTGCATAGCCAGATACAATTCATGACTGAGGAAGCTAAATCAAACATTTGTTCATACAGTGGGCCTGTTCTATGTAAATAGGTTTTCACTAAATTTAATAGCCTGGCATAACAATTGATGCCACATCTTATAGCCAAATGTATGTGGACACCCGACCTTCACAAATAAATGAGTTTAGCGGACATCCCAGTCCTAAACCATGGGTGTTAATATGGAGTTGCCTCCCCCTTTTGTGGCTATAACTGCCTCTACAATTCTGGGAAGGCTTTCAAGATTTTGGAGTGTGTCTGTGGGAATTATAATTATTATTACTTGACGAGACGGCCTGGCTCCCAATCAACTTTCCAGTTCATCCCAAAGTTGTTCAGTGGGGTTGAGATCAGGACTCTGTGCAGGCCACTTCCACACCAAACTCATCATACAATGTCTTTATGTGTGTATTTTGTATGCTGTATCACTAACATTACCCTTCACTGGAACTAAGGGGCCCAAACTCTGAAAAACAACCCCAGACAATTATACCTCCTCCACCAAACTTTGCAGTTTTCACTGTGCCTTCCAGTAGATACCATTCACCTGGCATTCTCAAAACCCAGATTTACCTGTCAGACTGCTAGATAGAGAACACATTTATCACTGCTCTAGAGTCCAGTGTGCTTTACACCACTCCAGCTAACGCTTGTTATTGCGCATAGTGATCTTAGGCTTGTGTGTTTTGGCACTCGGGGGGCCGACTCTGTGAGTTTGAGCAGTCTGTCATTTCCTGGCTGAGCTGTTGTTGCTCCTAGACACTTCCTTTTTACAATAATTGCACTTACAGTTGACCAGAGATCTAGCAGAGCATAAATTTAATGAACTGACATCTTATGACAGTGCCACGTTTAAAGTCATTTAGCTCTTCAGTACAATCCATTCTACTGCAAATGTATGGAGATTGCAAGGCTATGTGCTTGATTTTATACACCTGTTAGCTATAGGTGTGGCTGAAACACCTGAATTCAATCATTGTCTATGTGGTCATATAGCAATAAAAAGAAAATGGAAAGTTTGTGATGGAGATGGCTCATCATTGTTTTGGAGTTTATTTGGTGTTGATATCTTACCTAAATTAGTTTGCTATTCATTTGAATGGACTTGAACTGTGTGTGGCAGTTTTATCTACAAAAACACAAATACCATATTGGATTCTGTATCAATAGATGATTAATATTAAAGAACTCACAGTTGAGGTTGGGGGTGTGTAGTTCTTAACCTTGTGTCTTGGGTTACAGGTGTATGAGGCCCAACAGAATTTTTCAGGGGCCCAGCCTTGTCTCTGTGTGCATGGATACAGAATACATTCAATTTGACACTTTTATAATCTACAAATGTAAGCGTGTACTCGGGTTATTTTTAATAAAAATAGGAATGCTTAAAATGCCTAATTAAAAGATAAGGTTACTGTTTATTTAGCATTAATGCTTCCAGTAGACTCTCAAGCCAATGGCCTAACGTCCCTGACGATTCAGAGGTTTGAATCTTGAACAATCACTCAGAGCTTAATGTCTACCTAATGTTAAGTGAGTATGTCAAGTAATGAGAGTTACTTTGATATCTTCAGAGTTCTGCCACTGTTTCCTTGAACAAAGCTGACACTGACCCCTGCATTAAATTGAGAAAGCATGATTTGCATAATTCCAGTAGGCTATGCAAAACAGTTGGTTGCATTCTAACGTTCCAAACTGTATCCATACAGTTAAGATCAGTTTAATTTGGCTGAGTGATAGCAGCTAACAGAACACTGTTTAAAGTGACAGTATTTGGATTGATTATATATGAGTCTATGTGTGACATACTTGCAAACTGAAAATATGTCAACAGTAAATAAATGAATTGTGGTGTCTTTAAGCAACACTGCTTTTTGTGAAATGGACAAAGAACATTTCCGTGAATGAAAACTGTTTATTTTGATCCAAACAGAATTATATTCCAAGAAAACTTTTTTGTAGCACCAGCATTTGCCAAGTATGTGTATATTGACCTTACGCTATTTGACTGAATAGAAAAATTTTAAGTACCTAAAGTTTAAGTTCATTGTGTTAGAAAACAAACTTTGATGTTTCCACCTATTTGCTTTACAGCTTTGCAGTCTGGTTGGAATTCCTCTGTAGGCTCTCCACATAAAGAGTCTACCATCAGTTTGATGTGCTAAAAGTGTTTTTCTCTGAAACAAAGACCATTTTGCTAAAAATGTTATGAAGTAACCTAAAGAACTTTATTAAAGGTTACCAATGGTTAAGTGGTTAAAGTGCCCAATTACTTTAGGGGGTCTCTGTATTCATACTTTCCCCCTTACCCCAAATGTAGTCGATAAAGGTGTTTGGTTCCAATTACTCTCCAATTATCACTGTGCAAACTGCTTTCTTAAATGACCTCATACTTAGCCTCAATCCTATCCTAAAAATGGACAGATTCCCATTCCCAAAAATTCCATGTATATACAGTTTTTAGCAGTCTGGAACCCTCTAGGCCTTCAGTTATTTGACATAATCATTATGCTTGTTCTATTTAATCTCAGCAAATGTTGTAGCAATTTCGTTGTTAAGTTTTGTTTGGAAAGAAATGGGTTGCATTCTTGAAACACCCACTAGAAAACGGTCCAGCCAGGATTTGTTTTACTTAGTGACATCTAGGTAGATACAGCCAAGCAAACTTTCCCATTGGTTAGGCCTTCAGGAGCTGAACTGATGGTCTATTTCTGCGTTCATGACATCCGAGAGCTTGGAGTTTTCCAACTTGGAATATCCCACCTCTCAGGGCCTTAAAATGAACAAACAATTATCAAGCAATTATCAAACAGTTATCAAACAATTATCGATGTATCCCCATGTGCTTAATGACATTTTACACAAATAGCATCTCATACATAATCAGAAACTCAAATGTCTGTTTAATAACACTTAAAGAACACTATTAACACTATTAGTTAACACCATTATTAATGATGTATAATACATTTTAAGTCTTTTACAAGGTTTAATCTAATAGCCAAGAAATGTTCTTGTGAATCTCTGTTAGCGCTAACATAGCATTAAAATCCCACAGAGACACTAACAGAAATTTGCATCATAGTAGAGGTGTCTGATTTTTGACATTCTTGGCCCAAACTAAAGACCTAGCTCTAATAGTCACTGGTTTTTAGCATGATGATTTAGACCTGATGCTAATTGGAGGGTATAAGCTTTTATTACTTAGCTGCATTAGGCTAACTGCTCCACATCAAACTTCAGATCAACTTCATTTGGTGGTGAAAGCAACCTCTCAGGACCCAGTCAGTACATAAGAGAAGCAATTCTCCAGTGGATTTCTAAGTTTAGATCCAGTGGATCTCTTATTTAAAAGTTGGACAAAGGGCATGACATTACATCAATAGCAGAAGCAGTGCACCAGAGCCAATAAATAGATCTGCAGGGTACAGAGCCACCTGGATGGATCTGCACTAAACAACTATTATCCTCTATATGGAGACTCAAAGGTGTCATAAGACACTGGAAATCTTCACTGAATAGCAGTGGTAGGCCACTGAAGAACACTGAACCCACTGTCATATATTTATGGAACTAGTTTGACAAGCACAGCTCACACCATTGCACTGAAAGCAGCTCTTAGAAGTTGCATAAATTGTGGCCATAAAGTGAAGCACAGGGTTCAGCAACAATATCCAGATTAGCTGTGGTATTCAAACGATGCTCAATTGGTATTAAGGGGCCCATTGTGTGCAAAGAAAACATTTCCTTCACCATTACATCACTATCAGCAGCTTGAACTGTTGACACAAGGCAGGTTAGGTCCATAGGTTCATGCTGTTCATACCAAATTCTGACCCTACCATTTGCATATAATGGATGAAATCAAGATTGATAAGACAAGGCAATGTTTTTCCAATATTAAACTGTATAGTTTTGGTGAGCCTGCGCCCACTTTAGCTTCCAGATTCAGATTTTGGCTGACAGGAATGGAACTGATCTTGATGTGATGTTCTGCTGTTGTAGCCCATCCACCTCAATGTTGAGCATGCTGTGCCTTCAAAGATGCTTTTCTGATCACCACCATTTTAAGGAGTGGTTATTCCACTTGCTATAGACTTCTTGTCAGCTCAAACAAGTCTAGCCATTTTCCACTGACCTCTCTCATCAACAAAGTGTTTTTAGATCACATTTTTCCCTTTTTTGATGTCTGATGTTATTCATATTCAGGAGATATTTCTGAAGAGATTAGATATAAAATAATCCACTTGCGTAAGGAAGTAGTCAAAGTAAAATAAGTGAAAAAAAAAACAAGAGTTAAAAAATGATTTAAACATTTAAAGAAAATGGGAGTCCTTACAACCTAGTAATCCACCACAACTGTTTCGTTCTTGCTTGAGATCTGAAAAAACCTACAGGTGTTTCTCTCCATCTTAACACTGAGAGAAGACAAAACTATGCTATAGATCCAAAACAATGTGTGGCTGCCAAGAAGCTCTTACTGAGAAAAGTAAATAGAAAGTAGAAGAACATTTCTCATTACTATGGACTGACCACCCCAGAGTCCAGACCTCAACAGCACTGAATGTGTTTGATTACTTGGATCATGAAAAGCAGAACTTCGGAGGTGTGGAAAAAACATCCCTGCAGATTTCTTAGAAATATTCTGAAAGCAAGTCTTCTGCAAAGAATTAAAGCTGTAATAAAGGCAAAGAGTGGACACTACATTTTTCGTTCATCAATGTACAAACAATGTAAATGTTCCCTCAAAGGTCCAACTGTGCACCTTAAATAGTTTTTCTGGGTGAAAAATACATATTTGTACCTTTTCATAACCTAATGTTTTAAAACGGAACAATAAAATAAAAAGCCTGGAGACAAGACGGGGTGTGTGGAGGCAATACAACTTATTATGGTACTACGTTCCCTGACTAGGTACTGAGATGTACCCTTGAGGGTCCCACCCCAGTGACAAGAGGGGTACTGCCTTAGTTTTTGAGGTTTCTCTGAGATTTCGGTGTAATACACAATGTTTTCTGTCGCTGAAAAATGAATAACTTGCCTGTTTTTCAGAATAAACGAAGGGTGGTCTCTGACTTTTGCACAGCGCTGTACATAAAGTGAACTATAACTAATTTGACTCACATGAAACAGTGGTACATAATAAGGTTTAATTCAAAGCGTATGTGTACGGGTTTATAGTGTTAGTTTCTATTTGAATGCAGCTCATTATAGGATGGTACAATACATTCTTTAGCATAAATAAAAGACAAAAGGACCCAGCCTGCTGTTTTCTCTGAATGTGTCTCTGAATGTAGATTTTTACTATTGTCATTCTGCTCAGCAACAAAGCATGACAGGATATTAAGATACTTTATCTGAACCTGACCTTGGGGCACAGGAGAATCAAAAATAAGGCAAGGGCAAAGGGCAGAGACCTAAAATGAACTTCTGTTGGGGAGGAACTGTGTACATGTGATTTTAACTTCAATGAACACAACTTTATTGATAATTCACAGGACAATCCTAGAGTTCATTTATGTCCAGCGGGATCACAGATACAGCACTGACGATTTCTCCCTTCATTCGTTGATCCCTTTGCATATAATCTCAACATATGCTAATTTTTCCCCTTCAACGTCTGAACTGAGAGACTGTAAGAAAGCTCTGACGAGGCCAGTAGATTTGTTCCACGCACACAAACCTGTATGACTCGTCACTATTAGCCGTCTCTTATCAGCTCCACGAGGCCACAGAGCAGCGTCAGATCGCTTCAGCAGCGCTCCTGAAGAACCATGAAGCTCCTCCGTGTGCTGCTGCTCTCGCTCCTTCTGTGCGCTTTGTGCTCGAGGGCAGAAGAAGAGAAGGTCGAGGAAGGATCCGAAGAGGAGAAAGATGAGAAAGAGACCGAAACAGAGGCTGAACCAGAGGAAAAGGAGAAGACCGATGAGATAACGGAGGAGAAAGATGTCTTGGTGCTTCATAGCAAGAACTTTGCGAGGGCCCTCAGCGAGAATGAAAACCTGCTTGTGGAATTCTGTGAGTACGGCTTTGATTTAACTCAAACATTTACACATAATTCAGAAGTTATTACAGCAATTAATTATTATATTACCAAAAAAGAGACATTTTTGGAATTTCTGAATTTTTTTAGAATTTTTGTATAGACGACTACATTGCTTTACAATGCCCCCCCCATGTACCCCTCCACCATAAATGGATTTTAGAAGTATGTTTTAGGCCGAACTCTTATCTAAACTATCATAAAACAATGTCTCAGACATTAAACAATGTTTTCAGAACCAACTTTCTGTGAGGGAGCTTATAGGGGCATTAAACTCTTAAGACATCTGGTTCCTATCACCACCACTGTGAACAATTCTGACTCTGTAAGATTCTCTACTCTAAATGACTTAATGTTTACTAAATGTTTACATCTTAACCATTTAGTAATGCAGAAATTTAGAAAAGTCAGTGGAATTGCACCACACTTTAACGTAACATGTATTACCTAATTCAACACAGCCAATGAAAGTAGTAATATAAATGTGTTTTAATTACAACGCCTGTGTAAAATGTGGTAATATAGCACTAATACAAGGTAACACATTATTTCTGAAAGCTAATTGGAGTTTTATCATTATCATGAGTAGATATCATCCTTTTTTTAGGCCTAACATATGTTATATCTGTTATAAATAGATATGTTATAAAGAATGTTTTATATATGTATGTTGGGCAATCATGGGCTGGAGGTTAGGGAACCAGCCTTGCGACCGGAAAGTCACCAGTTCGACCCCCTGAGCCGACAGTACGTGACTGAGGTGCCCTTGAGCAAGGCCCCCAACTGCTCCCTGGGCGCTGTGGATGCAGCTGCCCACCCTCTCGAAAAAGTTCAAGGTGTGCGTGTATTTCCTGACCGCAGCAAACCCCTCAGCACAGATGCAAATTTTCCCATGTTGCGAGGAGGGAGTGTGCTGCTTTGCCACATGACCAAGATTAGTTAAGACACGTATTGATTCACAGCTGTGGCCTACGTCACTTCTTCTAAGCTTTAAGCCACGTTGAGTAAAAGGCATGAACTGTTAGACAGTATTAAAGAATTGCTGCAACACACAGGACACGAAAGTCATTTCTGAACATTTTTGGGGACAATAAAACAATAATTTACTGTATATGGGGAAAACAGAATCTTTGAAAAACTACATTGCTTAAATAAATAAACTTGTCATTTATATATAATGAAATAAAGATAATGAAAATAAAGTACGATAATACAAATAAAATAAATGACAAAAAAGCATATGTCATACTATTTTAAAATATATATTTTTTTAATTTAACTGATATTTTAAAAGCTATTTTTCTCCAGTTCGCATGACTGACACAATTGATAAATTAAAAGGATACTTGTGGCTGAGTCAGTGACTACTTATACTGCTTACAGCGAGAAACTGCCCAATGGGCTACACTTCCATATCTCAAATAAAATGTTCTTAGTTAAAGCCTGTTTTAGGGAGGCTAAACTTAGGTCTGAAGTACATACACCCCAGTCAAATAACATGAAAATAAGTTAATACATCCTTTACAGAGAACAAAGGTTGCAAATTTTAGAATACAATTGCTATTTATTTGCTAAATTTAACATATTGGAAATAACATTAAATGTGACATAACCTTTGCACAGGCCACATTTTATGTTTAATATTCCCACCAAAAGGTTAATTTTAGTAAATTAACAGCAATTGTGCATTCAAATGTGCAGAAGTGTGACATGTAACTAAAATACTAAGTAATTATGAGATCTCATTGTGACGTCATGTTTCTGAGATGCTAAGTCGTAAAATCTCATTATTATGAGATAGCAAATCATAATTATGAGATTAAAAATCTACTAATTTACATAATTATGGAATAATTATGAAAATATGTCTCATAATTATTACTAAGTATATCATAATAATGACTAACTATGTCATAATTATGACTTGCTTTCTCATAATTATAACTTACTATCTCATAATAATGACTTACTATGTCATTGTTGTGACTTGCTTCCTCAGAATTATGACTTAGCATCTCATAATTTTCTCATTATTATGAGAACTTAAGTCATACTTATCAGATACTTCCTTATTATTTTGAGATACTAAGTTGTAATTATGAGATACTAAGTCATGCTGTGAGACACCTTGTCATAATTATAACATACTATATGGCTTTTTTCCATACAAACCAGCCAATGGGCAGGTGCTTCAGAAAAATGTGGACTATTCCTTTAAAGGGGAATTCCATTGATTTTTCTAAATACCTCCATAATTCAGTCTCTGCCCCTAGTAATTTTGTTGGCTTTGGCTTTTTTGGGCAAAAAAAATTTTTTTCCTCTTTCCTGTTGTCTCAAAGATGCCCCGTGGTGTGGTCACTGTCGTGCACTTGAGCCGATTTATGCTGAGGTTGCAGGGCAGCTGAAGAAAGAGTCCTCTCCAGTACGACTGGCCAAGGTTGATGCCACAGAAGAGAAGGAACTGGCTGAGGAGTTTGACGTTGACAGCTTTCCAACGCTTAAATTCTTCAAAGATGGGAACAGGCAAAACGTCATAGAATTCACAGGTGATCTTCTCACATAATAAAATAACCAATCCAGTCATTTTGTGTGCTCGTACCTGACGAACATGTTTCCTGTGTTAAAGGAAAGCGCACCTCAAAGGGCATTATGCAGTGGCTGCAGCGGCGCCTGGGGCCTAGTGCTACGCTCCTAGAGAATGCCAAAGATGCAAAGAAACTACTGGATGCACACGATGTGGTTGTGGTTGGATTCTTTAAGGTAAACAAAGGGCAGAGGTTGAAGGAGTTGTATGGTGAAAAATAAAGTTTACATAATTTTCCACCCCAGATCGGCCGAGACACATTTGGAATCCAAATTTTACTTCTTAAGTTTAGAACTGGAGCTTTGAGGCTAATGTTGCTTACAAACACTGGAATGCAATAGTCACCCAAATAGCCCTAATAGCCAAAACTCCTCTCAACCTGCTCAAATCACATCCAGGACTTGTTGATGTGGTTTAAAACACATTATGATTTACTGTGAGCTATAAAAATGAATCTGTTCCTTCTTTATGAATACCAGCCCAGGTTTTGGCTGAAATGGCTGGCTGTAGTGATATAAATCTGATTGTGCTCTAAAACACACAGATAAGTCTGTGCAAGACTTAGAATTGGTCTTAGAGTTAAGAGAAGTTTTGCAAATGTATTTTTACAGAAACGATTTGAGCTATTTGGGTGACTATTGAGTTCCAGTCTTTGCTAGCACGTTGGCCTTGTAGCTTCAGTTCTAAACTAAGGAAGCACAAACATGTCTTGGCTCATTCCCTACATCTGGGACAAGTTGGGAAATTAGATAAATTAGATTTTTTGTTAAATTTGATTTAACTGTGTGTCCATTTTTAATCAATTTTGCCAGTATTGTCTGACATGTATGGCGTGAATAATAATCTCATTTAAGCCAATAAATGTTGAATCCTAAAAGTAAGGGTGCCAAAAAAGTTCTTTGGAGCAATGGCAAAGAAAAAACACTTTTGGTTCTCTTTCAACAGATTTCTCTAGGTGAGATATAAGTGTGAACGTTTAAAACTTAAAGAACCTCAACATAATGTTAATGATATTCTTAGAAATGTATGCTCAAGCCAAAAAAACATTTAGCAACCTTTATTTTTCAATTTAAATTTAAATGTTCAAGTTCATCTACTGTAAAGTTTTACATGTAGTAAATTGAGCCCAAATTTTCAGATAACACTCATGAGGGTTAGCAAGGATCCTGCACTGTACTAATTTCCATTAAGTTTGCAATGTATTGAAATGTAAGCACATTTGTAAAACTGTTAAGGCCTCTTTTTTAGGTCTTGTTCCTTCAATTGGGGGCAGTCATGGGCTGGAGGTTAGGGAACCAGCCTTGTGACCGGAAGGTCGCCGGTTTGATTCCCTCAGCTGACAGTACGTGACTGAAGTGCCCTTGAGCAAGGCACCTAACCATCAACTGCTCCCCGGGTGCCAGAGATAGGGCTGCCCACCGCTCCGGGCAAGTGTGCTCACTGCCCCCTAGTGTGTGTGTGTTCACTAGTGTGTATGTGGTGTTTCACTGCATGGATGGGTTAAATGCGGAGGTCTAATTTCGATGTGTTCAGACACAGTTGGCTATAAGATTCATTTCATTCAGTTGAAGCTCATGTTCAGATGACTCTCAAGTGGATTTGATCTACTGGTCAGAGGCTTTTGTACAGACCTGTGGAGCTCATGCCAGCTGCAGTGTGTGTTGCCATTAAAGCAAAGGGAAATATACCACATACTAGGAAATTCTGAAATTCCTGTTTTCAAAGATTCACTCAGAAGGTCTAGACACCTAAACACATTTTTTAAAACCATTTATCTGGATAATAACTGCATTTTTGCTTCTAAAAACACCAAATATCACATGCAGATGAATAAACACACTGTAAAATATAATAAATTTCACCTGGACGCAATGAGCCCCATAGAGATTTGTTAAATTCCATTGGCAGCACACTTGATTTAACATAGTTAAGTACTGATTAGCCAAACCAGGTATTGTATTATAACTACAAATACAAATGCAGTTCTGCTATCAAGAGAGGACAGGTCATATGTATGTATATATATATATATATATACATATATATTCTTTTTATATATTGTGCATTTTTAAAATGTTTTTCTAAGCAAATAAATACTTACTGACCTGCTAAGTTCTTTCATGGGTGCTAAAACTTTTGCACAGGGCTGTATATAAACTAGAAAAGAACACAAAATAGACGCATTTCTCTGTATCCGTAAATACAATCTGCAAATGCGATGAGTGTGAGCAAGCTTTTAAAAGTTTAAAGAACTTCTACATAAAAGCTTCCACACCAAATAAAGGTTTTTCATAGAAATGCATGTCCAAGCCAAGAACCTTAATCTTTGAGATTCAGTGCAGTAAATAGTGGTGTATTATTCCCTTCCTCTGACAGGACTTGGATGGAGAGGAGGCGAAGGTGTTCTATGATGTTGCAGTGGACACAATCAGCCTTAACTTTGGCATCACCAGCAGTCCAGAGCTCTTTAAGAAGTATGAAGTACAGAAGGACTCAGTAGTGCTCTTCAAAAAGGTGACCCTGATAACAGTTCAGCCATTTTTACAACTTGTATTTGAGACTGAAAATTAAAGAGATTTGTGTGTCTTTCAGTTTGATGACAAGCGAGCCGACATGCCCCTCCCTGAGGACGGTAAGCTGGACAAGGAAGACCTGATTACGTTCATCCAGAACAACAGTCTTGAGCTCGTCATCACATTTAGTGAAGAGGTAACCGTTAAAATCGTTTCTGCAAAGTGGCCGTATATATTTGAATCACAAATGTATAATCAAATCACAAGTTTTTTGCCATTAATCAATGCTGTCTCAAACTGTGTCCTCATGTCCCCGTCCACGTCCTGTCCTGTTCCTTCAGAATGCTGAAAAGATTTTCGGTTCTAAAGTCCATAACCACCTCCTTCTGTTCATAAACACAACCATCGAGGCCCAAAATGCACTGCTGGATGACTACAGAGCCGCTGCCGGCGAGTTTAAAGGGAAAGTGAGTTTTAATTCAGACCAAACACAAACACACACACACACACACACACACACACACACACACACATACAGTTAAACACATTTCATGAGCTTTGATTTCAGATTTGCCTCTCCATTTGTTTTTATTACATAATCTACAAAGCTGGCTTTCCATCATTAGACATGTCAAATCTCAGATAATAACAGTGGTGAGCTGTGACTACTATAGCTAGGCCTTCAATTTGGGGCATAAATGTCAAAACTCTGTCCAAACATGAAGAAAAACTCCTCAACCATAATGCTAACTTCCCTGTTCTGGTGGTTTGTTAGTGCTAATCTAATGGCAATTCGAATACTTTCTGACAAGGATGAAGTGATGTCCCACCTTAAATGGTACTGCAGGTGCAGCATTTAGGCACCTTAGTGTAACTGCTGCACCATTTAAGTTGGGACAGACGCCCAGTATCAATACTTAGTCAACAGAAAATGCTGGTATTGGAAAAAAGAACAAATCTGTAACAAATCTAACTTGAAATATCACAGATTTACTTGTAGTGCAACAAGTGAAGTAAATTGGTTCAATAGTAGCCTCATTTAGCTCAACATAAGAACACCTTGTAGATGTAAAGTCAGAGACGATAGCTCATCTGCTGCTGCTCAGTTTGTGTTGGTCATCCTCTAGTCCTTCATCAGTGGTCACAGGACACTGTTGGCTGGATATTTTTGGTTGGTGGACTATTCTCAGTCCAGCAGCGACACTGAGGTGTTTAAAACTCCAGCAGCACTGCTGTGTCTGATCCACTCAGACCAGTGCAACACACACTAACACACCACCACCACGTCGGTGTTACTGCAGTGCTGAGAATGATTCACCACCCAAATAGTACCTGCTCTGTGAGGGTCCATGGGGGTCCTGACCACTGAAGAACAGGGTAAAAGGGGGCTAAAAAAGTATGCAGAGAAACAGATGGACTACAGTCGGTAATTGTAGAACTACAAAGTGCACCTATATAGTAAGTGGAGCTGATAAAATGGACAATGAGTGTAGAAACAAGCAGGTGGTCAGAATGTTATGCCTGATCGGTGTATGGAGGTCTAAATCTGTGCTTCTCAAACTGCTCCTCAGGCCCCCCCAACATTTTTGCTGTATCCCAGCTCTGAACACATCTGAACTAAGCAGTTAAGAACACTGAATACCTAGTTCATGAGTGTTGGGAGCTGGTTAGAGTGAACTGATTGGCGGGCCCTGAGGACTAGTTTGAGAACCTCTGGTCTAGAGAGTCATTTTATACGTAAATGTACACTGTGTGTCTATGTGAACATAGGTGCTGTTCATTAAGATAGATGTCAACGAACAAGTTTCGCATGTGATGAAGTATTTTGGTATCTCCGCAAGTGATACCCCCACTCTCCGCCTCATCAACACTGACACGGTGAAGAAGTATGCTATGAAGGATGAAGATATCAGCGAGGACACACTGAAGGCCTTCTGCCAGGATATGCTGGATGGCAAACTCACGGTTAGTAAATACCCTCTCCTTACTGATAAGGTGAACACTGGGTTGTGCATCATGTAGACTCATATAAATATATATCTCAACATATAATGCAAAGTTGCAAAAGTGAAAGACCACACTTTGTTTATTTCATTTCCAGTCAATACCTCCACTAAGAACTAAGCATTAAGTTATTGATTTTCAAGCATCAGGAAAAAAAAAGCTGAAAGCGTAACAGAAAAGTACAGCTTCCATTCTTTTCAAGAGACTTGCATTCAGTTTTTCAGTGAACTCTGCAGGGATGTTTTTTCCACACCTCCGAAGTTCAGTCTTAGAAGTTGGTTGCGCTTTCTGCTTCGGACGATTGAAGTAGTACCAAACTGTAACCTTTCAGCAGTATTCAGACACGTGCGGATTAAACAGGTAAAAAAGTTTTAATTATCTCTAAGCAAGCTCGTTGTCAATACACAGGCAGAGAACGGAGAATGATCACAAAGGTGATCATAACACCAGGCAAACAAAACCAAAAGGATAAGGCAAAAGACGTGGTCGAAAAACAGGCAAGCATGTTCAAAAACACAGATCCAAAATACAGGGCAACAGTACAAAAAGGGGCAGCAAAAGACAAAGTAACAAATGAAGCAAAGGTTAGATAATCAGAAGCATACAGGTAAAAATAAACGCTCAGTAAGTTCACCAGGAAACAATACCTCGCACTGAATCTACCTACAGCCCGGGCTTAAATACTAAGCTAAACAGATCATATGACACAGGTGAAGCAGGTTAATACTCAGGAGACTGTGAGTGCTGACAGGTGCGTGAGACTTTGTCAGAAGTCACGTGATCCCCGATTGACTTGTGGGTAATGGAGTCTATCTCTGACTTGGAATGAAGTCTCTGAGTCACATGATCTCCCAGAGTATTCTGGGAAATGAAGTCCGTCTCCTCCTGAGAGTTCGTTAAACACGTGACACAAACACATTCAGTGATGTTGAGGTGTGGATTCTGAGGTGGGCAGTCCACTGTTCTGAGAACACCAGCAGCTTCTTTGTTTGTTTTGCAGAATTTCTTCTGTTTTTTTGCAGAATTAATTCATTTTTTAGTAATAACTTTTTAACAACCACACATTCTTTCAGATATATAGCGTTGAGTTGTTTTCTCACAGTGGAAGCATGGATGGAAACACTTGTAGATTTTTTCAGATCTGAAGGTTTAAGTACTATTTTCTGATGATGATAGTTTTGGTGGTCTTGAAAACTTCTGTTTTCACCTATATTCCTTTGACTTTCCCCTGACTCATGTAAGTGGATTATCTTCTAATTGATCACCAGAAGTCAATATCCCCTGAAAAACAATAACTTGTACTTAATGGCTGTTTTGACTGGAAGAATAGTGACTTTTTGCAGAACACTGTACCAATGTGATTTTCAATTGCTGTAAACCTTCTTTTATTCCACAATTAGGCACCTTTTTGTCTTTATTGTGAGGTTTTCTAAGCAGTTGGTTGTAGCCTGTTTACACTCGTTTGTGTAGTTCTTTTCTTTTGTCAGTGTTCAAGTATATTATGTTCAGGAATGATTGCTGTTTTGTTAACTTCACCCTCATCCGTCTTTATGTAGCCCCATCTGATGACCCAAGAGATTCCAGAAGACTGGGACAAGAATCCAGTCAAAGTCCTTGTGGGAAAGAACTTTGAAGAAGTCGCCTTTGATGAGACCAAGAACGTCTTTGTGGAATTCTGTAAGCATGATATTTATTCATTTAATTCAAAACTAAAACTACATAGTCACATCGTTGACGTGAGTGTGATATTGTCCCCTGTTTTCAGATGCTCCTTGGTGCGGTCACTGTAAGGAACTTACCCCTGTGTGGGAGAAGCTGGGGGAAAAGTACAAGGACCATGAAAACATCATCATTGCTAACATGGACGCCACAGCTAATGAGGTGGAGGAGGTGTCAGTGCAGGGATTTCCCACCTTGAAGTACTTTCCAGCAGGGGCTGAAAGAAAGGTCAGCAAGTTCCACATCAACATTTAGCTTTTCATTATATGCACACAAGAGGTTTACACTCCTAACCCTTATTTCAGTACGTTATTTTAACACGCACTTGATATTTTCCACTCACCACTCCTAACTGCTTAATACTACGTTACTCAAGTGGCCACTTGGGTAAGTGGATTTTACAGTTGGAAAACACTTGCCCTCAGCTAGGTTAGCCTCATTAGCTTATTAGCTAGCCATGCAAACTCTGTAATGGAAAACGTTTCTTGGAGAAGTCTGAACGTAACACATACATTTTGTGAATATTCGCTTTGTCTGTCCATCTTATGAGGAAACTCAGTCTTATGCAGTTGTATACCTCTAAACTGTGGGGAAAAAGGTATCTTATGGGTAATTCCCCAGCTTTATATGGCTTTATACCCCAAAAATGTGTGCCATAACATATATTATGGATAAACCCCCAGCCTTATATGGCCTTGTACCTCCAAAACTGTTGGTAAAAACATGTCTCATGGGTAAACCCCAAACCTTATCCAGTCATATACCTCCATAAAAGTGTATCTTATAGTTACATAACTCCCAGCCTTATACGGCTGTATATCTCCAAAACTGTTCTTATAGGTAAATCCCCAGCCTTATTTGGCCTTATACCTCCAAAACTGTGGGTAAAAACCATATTTTATGGGTAAACCCCCTACCTTATCTGGTTGTATACCTCCAAAACTGTGGAAGAAAATGTATCTTATTAGTAACCCCCCAGCCTTATATGGCTGTGTATCTCCAAAAGTGCAGAAAAAGTTTTATGGGTAAACCTTTGGCCTTGTACAACCATGTACCTCCAAAACTGTGGAAAAACATATTAACACCTATGAAATACACTTCAATTGAGCTAAAATAAAACCATATTCAAAATATTGAACTCGTGTTTGGAGCATTTGCTAAGATAAGTATTGACAAAACATGTCCACTGGAGGTGCTACACAAAAGCAACAGCTTGTTGCAAGTAGACTTCTGACTAGGCTCGATTCAACTGGAATTCAACATTATTCAACACCACATTGCTTAATTGACAATATATAAAAGCTTTCACAGTTGCTAAATCACTGGAGGGGTATTAAATCTGAGTCATTCATGCTGGTGGTGGGATCTGCTTCATTAGAAGCTTAAAGAAAGTGTGACAGTGCTGAAGAAAGAAAAGGAAAATTGATCAATGGACGTAAATGTTATTACCAAGTTCTGTTTTAAACACTCTGATTTCAGGTGGTCGATTACAACGGGAAGAGAGATTTAGAAACATTCTCCAAATTTCTGGATAACGGTGGAGTGTTGCCAGAGGAAGAGGAAGAAGATGAGGATGATGATGATGATGATGAGGACAAAGATGAAGATGATGACAAAGATGATGAAGATAAGGAGAAGGATCAAAAGGGCAGTGATGAGGAGGAGGTCAGTAAAAAAACCTGCAATCAAAAATATAATTTTGGTTGGGTATGAAGAAATGGCTTACAGTCCATCTTTGCTTACTTTACATTGATAAAAATGCAAATAACTGGACACAGTTTTTCTTATGAAACTATTTTAGATGGGTGGGTGGGTGGATGGATGGATGGATGGATGGATGGATGGATGGATGGATGGATGGATAGATAGATAAATTTTAATAAATTTTACTGCATAAATCAAGGTTAGGCAATTTGCACATGGCTTATTCCACTCCAACTCATCAAGCACTTGGCCAGTCATGTCTTGGATTTCCATTTAAAAATTCAAGCAAAAACTTCAATTGATTTTTGGAACCATACAAAATTTCAAAACAGTGCTCTAAATATTTTGTTATTCATTTTTAAAGTTAGCTCCACGGAGTTCAACTCCGTATACAATGACTGAAATGTTCAGTGGGCATGACCCATGTGTTATATTCTTATGTATGCTTAATTATGAAGCTACGCTATATGGCCAAAAGTATGTGACCATCACACCTATTTGAGCTTGTTGGTGCTAAAAGCCGGTGGGGGTGCAGGTTTTCATTCCAAAAAAGAAGAGCACACCTGATTCCACTCATTTACTCAGTCAGTCTCAGTCTTCAAACAACAGATCATTCATGCTCCTGCTTTGTTACAATGAAAACCTGCAGCTACATTGGTGTATAAAATTGGACATCCATGTCTGAGACTCTTCCATTTAACAATAATAGCACTTACAGTTGACTGGGGAAGATCTAGCAGGGCCAAAATTTCACAAACTGATTTGTGGCAAAGGTGGCACCCTATGACAGTGTCACATTGAAAGGCCTTTAGTATGACCCATTCTTTGCCTGTGTTTATCTTTGGAGATTTGCAGGGCTATGTGCTTGATTTTTTAATACCTTTTAGCGATGAATGTGGCTGAAAAACCTGAACTCAATAATTAGGAGCCGTGTCCACATACCTTATGCTGTAATTTATAGTATACTTTATTACTTTATGTAGCTTGTTTATAACTGTTAGTGAATCATAGTAGTGCCCCAGTTAGGAACTAGGAAATGACAAAAGTGTCTTTCATGTTTGAGCTGCTGCTGTTGGTGTAAAGATTGAGCAAACTTCTTTGTTCTTAAAGGTATTTTTGTTGTGCAGCAGACAAAAACACTTGCAGTGTCTGAGATTCACTGAATCAGACTCAGCAAAAGCAGACATTTAAAAGACATTCTCTGCTTTAATGTTGTTTTTGATGACGTGCTCTTTCTATTATTGTTTCTTTTTAGGGCTCAGATGAATCAACAGAAGATTCAGAGAAACCCAGCAATAAATCCAGCAGAAAAGATGAGCTGTGAAAAAACAGCTCATGAATCATGTGTATGTGTGTTGAATTGGATCGATGTTAACTTGAAATTGAATCTACTGTTTTAACACTGTTTCTTTTCTGAGTAAATCATTCGAATTGGCACTGAACCACTGAATTATTAGTCTTAATAATAGTGTCAAATTGTTGATTACTGCCAGTGTAAAGAGACCTCAGGTTTCTTGTTGATGCAAATTAACAAACAAAAGGAGAGAAAGAGATAAACAGGACACATATGAAAGTATTATAGTCCATTCACTTGCCTTTAATTGCTGAAAATGATCATTTAAATGTACTACATTTACAGAATTTGATGTAAAGCCTGTTGCAGCTGTTTTAACTAAATAAAAGTTCCTTAATAATTAATGATGTTGAATCATTCTAGACAGATGGTGTATAAGCATACTTCATACAAATCATATCATATAGGACCACTCTGTAGCTAATTACAGACTGTAGTCCATCTGTTTCTCTGCATACTTTGTTAGCCCCCTTTTCAGTCTGTTCTTCCAGGACCCCCACAGGACCACCTGATGTTATTCGGAGGGTGGATCATTCTCAGCACTGTAGTAACACTGACGTAGTACTGCTGCATTTAGAATGTTGAATATGCTGTGACTGGGATGTATATGTAAAATCTAAATATAAATAAAAAAAAAAGATAAATATTTAAGCTGTCAATTGGAGTATTTTAATACTGGTACTGCTGTTATCCATCTCACGCTAATGTTATTGTTATTGTCTGTGGTACTTGTGGTCATGTAATGATGAATAATGAAAGTCTGCACACGTGAAAATCCGAGCTTTAATGTTTCAATCTGGGGCAATTACACAGAAACGTTATCAAATCAAGTCAAATTCCACATAAATTGCATTAAAAAACTCCCCTGGAAAAACAATACATCTTGAACAGTGTGTGTGTAGTAGTAGTTACGGCTAACACTGAGTGTGTTATCATGCACTTAATAAAGCCAATCATAATTGGATTTCTGTAGTTATCTGATTATTCAAATTGTCATGTAAACAGTACACTCTGATTTTTTAGATCGTGGTAGGGTCCAGAAATCTGATTAAGGAAACCAATAAAGAGAGCTGGATTTTACCTTAATAACTTTCTCAGTGCCTGTAAACTCTTATTCTGATTTTGTTCTTATTTCTCAGTCTGTGCATGTGGAATAACAGAAATAGGCTGTGGCATGAAGTTTGAGTTTACGTTAAGTTTACATCATGTGTACATCATCTTAAGTGTATGTAAAGAAAACTGGGAAAAAAAGATGAATGTCAGTGTATTTAATGCCTTGCAATATTCTTACTGCAGCACCTACACAATTAGGTTGCCTTTGCCACCATTTTTGGGGATTTTGGTTAAAATAATGTCAATTAATTTATGCAGGGCTTTTTCTTACTATTAATGGTATAGGCAGTTGCTTAGGGCCCCAGAGTCATTTTATTTATTTATTTATTTCTTTATTTTGCAATTTAACAGATTATACTTCCCCTATGGTTATTTGTAGGCATTTACCGCTGCACTCAGCACGATTGTATATGACTATATTCACTAATCCACAAGCCTTCAAATAGGATCCCAGTAGTCCTCTTCCCTTCATGCCATATATTTATTTTTTCTACATGGGATTTGGGACTGAAATTTCATTCGGTATTTAATCTGTTCTTGTATATCCTAAAGCTTCAACTTCAACTTATACTTATATTTTCAAGATTCATTTCCGTAAAAGGCCTCATATTTCTCATCATCAGGATGATCATTCTTTAACTTGTTCATTAATGCCCCCAATCACATTAGGCACAATACCATGTAGCTTCCTTCAGCAGGCCCTCTAGTGGCCATTCCGTCAGCACCAGGATATTTTTAATCAGTGCAATCAAACAAAATATTTTTTTTTTTATCTAACTCTGCTGTCATATTAACTAGGACACTGTTGGCTCAGTGATTGAGATTTTGTAACACTGTGTTGAGCTGTTATTGAGCAATGAGGGATGAAAGGGGGTGAGAGCCCCCTGCTGTGAAAGCAATTCACATCTTTTCACAAAGACGATGTGCTGAGGTAAAAATATACAGCACAACTGCAGCTTTCTTCACATGAAAAACAGCTTCCACAATAGTTTCACTTACCTGTTAGAATTTAGAATGGTTCACAGCATTTCTATATACATATGAGACACATCATATCAATGTTTCATCAAACCACCCATAACAAGACTGGAAGTCTAAGATTAGTCAAGATCAAATAAACCACATATATGTTACTTGTCATTGTATCTTCCCTCGGGAACTTATGAAAAGTCTTTTTTTTGCTATATGAGATTCTACAGGCTGTTGGAATTTATTCTTCCAATTTCTACATCATAGCAATGTAGTGCATCCACTAGGATAACTGTGGCCACCAACCCAGCCTTATAATGTCACCGCAGGCTCTGCCATTTCCAATGTGATTTTGCAGTGAACACCATGGTGGACAGCAGACAAAAATATGGTGTTGTGGGAGGCCAGTTTTCCAGTTGGTCATTTTTTATATGCTTCCAAAGTGCTATGACACCAAAAAAGAATGGATAAGGTTTGTTTTCAATAATGAAATCCCAATGGAAAATGTAAGCACTAATTTATTCATCTGCTCATAACATTTCACACGTCATTCTTCAGTTTTGGCCAACACTATGCATATGATTTGCATTAACATCTCCAAACAATCATTATGCATTATAGAAAGGATCGTAATTAATATATCAAGTTATGGTATTAATTAACAGATTAGTTAGCAATATGTTAATGCTTAACAATTATCATTATTAATTGCCATTTATGTATGATTCATTCCTTCATTAACATACATGCTTCATTATTTCCTGATGTATTAAAGATTAGTCCATGCATTAATCTATTGTGATAATAGCATTATTTAAATAATAATACATGCTTATTTGTGGACCAGTATTGTACAGAAGCCCCCATTCCAGAGGGCATCTTTCCAGCACTCCTGCACCACCAAGCAGAGGAATATTGTACAGGAGCCCTAAACCTTCTGCTGCCCACTTCACTAGTGAAGAGCCCAAGCAGTTTGCAAAGCTGCTAAAGCTCACCTTGGAAAATATATTACTAGATTACACTACTGATTTCTTCAAATATCAGTTCTTAGGTGACCATGTCAAGTTTAAAGAGACCCTGTTGATTGCAGATTCATACTGCAGTTCACAGTATCCATACACTGACACTTTGAGCTGCTTCAGAGAACACTATGGGCAACCACATATGGTAATGGATAGGCCTGGTGTCCGTAGTGGGGATGCACAGGCATTTTGGAAGTTGTCCATGCTCTGGTGGGTATGCTTGAGCAGATGGGAAAGGAAGTAGCTGTGGAGAACAGTCATTACAACAACTTGTAACCTGTGAGCAGAAGACCTTGTGATTAAATACAATCACAGATTGCTCCCACCCGCAACTGAAATGTTTGGCCTACTCCCAGCCACGAAGTTCTGTTAAGGCAAACTTACACTCAATATTTGACATAGTCTACTCACAAAAAACATTATTCTCTGCTGAAATAACATGGTAGTCATGGTCATCGGGTTTGCTGTGAAGTAACTTCTCCATACGCCAGTAAACACAAAGCAAGAATTAAACCACAGAATGGTTATGCCATCTCTGTAGGCTACAAGAATTTGCACATTGTTAATGTGTTAATGTCACAACTCATTAGAATGACTTCATTAATATTTATGGTTTTACTGTTATCATTTTATATTGTTTACATGTATGATTTAGTAGAGTTTGAATTTATTTAGAGTATTCATTAATTTGTGGGTAGCTCACTACTGCAGTGGGCTGGTTTTCAAAAGAAAACTCTTGCATTGCAAAAGTGCAGACCTCTAGTCTGAGGGCTACTGTCAGACCTGTAGCTACTCAAGACTGCAAAGGTCCTGCTGCAGCATAGAACAATTCACCCCATGATACATTAATAATATTTCAGTCACATTACATACATCAGTAAAAACAGCTGTGTATGGTGCAGTGAGGTGTCAGCAATGATGCACAGCCTTTAGATGTTGAATAATTTACTGTAACTACTGTATCAACGATGCACAGTCTTTGGATTTAGGATATAATGATGTAACAAATTGTATTAATTTTTTATAGATTTTGAGTTTCAATAATATTTGCGCTGCATTATATATCACATCAAAAACAGCTGTGTATGCTGCAGAGAGATGTCAGCCTTTAGCTCTTGGATATAATGGTGTAACTACTTTTTATTAACTTTTATAAATTTTAAATTTCAATAGCATTTCAGTTGTATTACACGCAACACTACAAACAATTGTGTATGGTGCAGTTAAGTTTCAGCAATTATACACAACTTCTGAATTTTGAATGTACTGCAATAATTATGTTATATCAATATTTATGTATTTTCATCTTCAAAAGCATTTCAGCTGCATTAATTGCAGTGAATGCTGATTTTTGAAAAGTAGTATTTTAGCTACATTACATCTTCAAGTAAAATCCAAAGTTTGAGTGTCATTACTGAAACTTATCTGCACCAAACACTGCTGATTTAAATGTTGAATGTCTAAAATGTCGAAATTCAAAATGGAAAAATAACATAAATCTGACTCACTGAGTGTTTGATGGATTTAAAAGATTTTTGAGTTCCATTTTGATCCACTTACATAAGACGTTTTCTTTTCTACACTCATTTTTTAAACTAATATTTTAGATGGTTAAGGACCTATTGAACCTTCATGACTGCTAATGTCTGATGATTACTGAACCTTTGTCATCAAGCTAACTAGCTATCAGTATACAGGTAAGGCTCAGTACTGTTAGGACAATTATTGGCAAGTACATTTTAGCTACAGGTCTTTTTCTAAATCAAAGTGTTGTGAATTTCTAACAATAATTTTAGAGCAAATAACACAATTAATTAGATGTGTGTAGACACAGTGTTTATGGAGCTATTGACGTCTGACAGTGTCTATTGTTAGCATGAACAATAAAATATTTAAATGCACTGAAACGCTTTGGAGGAAAACAAAGGTGTGTGCATGGATGTAGGCGTGGTCTAGAAGTGCATGCTTTTTCTTCCCATTGAAAAACTTGTCTCGGTTCTATGGTATTAACACAAAATAGCGGTACGTTTAATGTGACCCAAACTGCAAAAGAACAGGTGTGCATCACTCTCTGTGGTCGTACTGTCATTAATATGTAATATGTACTGTCATTAATATGTAAGACTGACAACCATAGTCCGATCCAATGTTATTAGTGCCGAAAAGACGAATATCAAAAATAAAACTAACTTAGCTCCACTCACTCGCTGCACAGTATGCTGTAAGCCTCACCTTTTGAA